CCCTAAATCGGGTAGGAGTGAATTCCATCTTGCTAATTCTATGTCCCCAGCTATCTACCCAGTCTTATCCCTGAAATGGGAGGCATATTGAGCAGCGCTGATGAGCTTACTCTCACCTATGCAGATCAAGGGAGAATCCTGAATAAATAGGAGTTCATAGATGGCTCAGGATTTAGATCAAGTTATTTAGGTCATCGATAAACGAAATTAATTAGTGTTATCCGTAAACGGTGTTAATACGTAATAGTGATTATTTCAGGGTCAGTCTTACACAATCTCATTGTGTAGAACACCCCCGCTCACATGTTTCTACACGAACGAATCAGGATCACTTCGTTTATGACACTTTACAACATTTGTAACAATCATAAAGCGGGTCATATTCAATAGTGTCTCCAGGAAATAGTACCCAACTTGATCCATGTACTATAGACTGTTTAGGCTATTTACTTGAACTTGATCCAGTTTTTGTCTCCACATAAAGTCCAAGTACTCATTATAATAGCCAAGGGTTCGTAGTTTATTAGATTTATTAAAAAAACAAATTCACTTTCATTTAACAACATTTGTCTGAATAACCTCACATTAATGTTCACTGTTTACAAACTACGAGTGTTAGGACAGAGTACCCAACAATTGGAAGTCTCATATCTTAAAAAAGAAAGAACTATCCCCAAATCACAAAACGATAGAGATGAAATATCTAACTCTAATACTACAACAAATATGAGATTCAATGACAGTTATGAACCGAGAAAAGTGAAAGCGAATAATAAGAATTTTGAAAACCAAACAGGAGACAAAGTTTGTTCACATGGGATGGATTTATAATTTTTGCAATCCCCATTCCTTGTACCAACCGGCAGCCGTTATCAAACCCTAATTCTCCCATCACCATCCCCATGCTCCCGCCAATCATATTCATCTCTCTCCATATGTTATTTTCTCTCTTTCAAAATTTAGGATTTATTATATGAATATATAATTGATCCTTCTCGACGATCCTTAACCCTCCATATTTTTACAATGATATACTGTTGTCCACTTTCGATTGTTTCACTCAAAATGTCTCGTACCAATAAAAATGTCGTCCCTTCACTTATATGCTTATGATTTTCCTTTTATTTAACTAATGTGAGACTTTGGTTGCACACCTGATATTTTATCCTCAAACAATGTGTCACTAGCTTCCCCTTAAAATAGTCATCCATGCATCCATGTTTCTTGAGCATATCACCTTTAATCTAGCCAACTCCTGTCTTTGAAGCATACCGTTTGTCCGATACAACTGGATCACGAATCTATGTCTTTAAGGCTTTCAACTTCTTTGTTCGAGATTCAAGGATTGTACTAAAATGGTTAAGTTAGAAGCATAACTTTCATACCACTTAGCTTGTTAATGACAATGAACCCTCCACATTTTTATAATGATATTATATTTATCCATTTTGGACATAATCTTGATGAATTTTAGTTTCACCCAAAAGGTCTCGTACTAAACAAGATGTTGTCCCTCACTCACTTAAATACTCATGATGTTTCTTTTGTCCAGCAAAAGGTGGGAGACTTGATTGTACACCCAACAATTTCTCTCTGTCAATCTTGATATGAATGAAATGTAAAATGGATGTATATTTTGGATATATTTTGAAAGCTAAAAGTATACCACAAATGTTGCAACAAATGTGATATGTCCAAGGTTTTAAATGTCGATGTCGATGGAAATTTCAAGGTCTCAATTTCATGAAAATATTGATAGAAATATCGATAAAATTTTGATGTCGATAGATATTTATCTAAAAGTTAGAGAAATAAAAAAATCGTAAAAAATATTTAAATGAACAAATAAAATTTTTTCTATTTCTAGATAAGTTAAAAAAGGATCCATATCAATAATAAGCATATATTAGTAACATTTTGTTGATATTTTTCCTATTTTGTTTATCTTTTTGTAATATGATAGAAATGTCGATTTACCCCTCATGTCGATGTCGAACAAATGGATACAGGAAAATGTCGATGGACTTATCAACGGATATTTAATACTATGACTATGTCATATTATAAAGAGTATATGGTCGCCGAACATATTAAAAACTAAATATTATGAGTAAATTTGGTAAAATTAATTTGAGTGGAGTTTAACGAACTCGGATTCTTTTTTAGTACAACATGTTGGAAAAAGAGAAAAGAACGAACTCGGATGTATTATTAATTAAAATAAGATTTCGTATAATATATATTCTATCTTAATTTCATTTTATTCTATTATTTTTGTAATTACTTTTTACTTTTAGGAAATATTTAGAAAATAATTCCTCAAACCATTGGACTATAACATTTTCATAAAATAAAACTTTTGAGCTATTTTTTTAATAAACGAGCTACCTTGATAAGCACCAAGGTTGCTTGGGTTTACAAAGCTAAAGTTTCTTATAGGATTCTTACAAACATTCATAAAAGTAACTAACTTACCGAATGATTCCAATCAAGAGTAGGATTAGAAGGATAAATCACACTTAGATCAATTTATGATGGTCGCTCCTAGATCCTAAGACGATTCACTCCAGAATTAGTTTGATCGGGACTAATCCAATTAATCGGTTTAACATCAAACCTAAAGCAAGATTTGAAAGAAAACAACACCAAATGTGTTAAGGAACAAAAGTTCTTGATTTGAATATGCTAAAACTAAACAATCTCGAACATTACAAGCCTTTAAAAGGCCAAGAGACGTTCAAAGAGCAAAAGTCTTACAAAAAAATATGAAATGCAAATTGAAGAAAATAAGACATGCAAATTAAATCTTGTGCATAGGCATGCTCTAGAAGCCTAATGTGGATCAGAATAGGCATGCTCTAAATTGTCCTAAACGTGTGTTGTAGGAGGCGCTTCACATTTGAATAAGATTTGATAAGTTTGACTTCAAAAACTTCTAGGAGGTGCAATATGTCAAGGCACCTGTTAACATACTTTTTTTTTTTTGTCCTTCGTCCATCTCTCAAAATAGACAAAATTTCCCGTTGAAGTAACATTATAAATAAATTTGGGCTCAAAACTTTTTGTTGGTTCTTGTCCATTAACCAGCTCTGGAAGATATAGTGTGAATGCCTCTTGAATCTTTCTTGTTTTTCTTCTAATAATTACTCATTTGATACATGTAGTTACTCAGTGACTTGACTCGTATCACACCTGACCTTAAATATTTTAAAATAAGTAAATAAATGTTTACTGGATAAATATTTCACTATTTAAAAAGAAAAATTAAAACAGGAACAAAAGTCTCGATACTTACGTGAATCAACCCAACTCAAATATATATATATTTTATGGTTAGGTGAGATTGGATGCATCACTTAATTAACTAGATTATATTATTGGAGTTTAAGAAATCGCAACCTAAAACAATGGGGATGCATCTAAAAAGTGCATTAACCTAACCAAATCCGTGAACAGGATCATCCATACAAGTACTAGAATCTCTAAAACATGGAAATATCAATCAATTTTTGGGACAAAATTGTTAAGCACTATGTGAGAGCTTGTTTGAGTAACAGTGAAGTAAGTGCCCAACTATTTCATATGGCTCTCTTTGATCACTTATAGCTTTTGACACTTTCCAATGACAATTGTAATTATACATAGAGGCAAATCATGTTCACTTAATCATCATTTTATCCTCCTTAATTAAGTTTAGTTAGTTAATTAATTAATTAATTAATTCTTTATCCTTTTAGATCTCCCTTGACTCATTCTTCATTAAATTCTCTTGCTAATTTCTTTTTAACCCTTTTGCTCACCTTTTTGCTTTTGGATTAAATTTAGAGTTATTTTCGTAAATAACCATCCGCTTTTTTAGATATATATTATTTTTTTGAACATCCATTATTAAAAAGATTTGTTTAGGAAAATGTAAAATAAAGAAAAAATTTCGAGAAAATTTAATATAGAGTTGATGAATAATATTTGTCTATATATCGGTTGAAACATTTTCCAAAATTGTTAAAATATTGATTGCCTCCACAAGAACATTTTCCACATGAACAAGTAGGTCGATAAGTGACGTATTCGTCCCAAACACTCTTAAGTCGAGTAAAATACATGGAGACAGACTGCTGTTCTTGTGTAATCGTCGTCAATTCACGCTTAAGTTGAAAAATTCTAGGACCATTCTTAGGCTGAAACCGCTCTTTCAAATCAAGCCAAATAGCGCGGGCCGAATCGAAAAATATCAGGCTAGCCGAGATCGATTTTGAAACAGAGTTCAAAATCCAAGCAATTACAACATGATTATTACGAGTCCAAGCAGCAAGAAGATTACCAGAAGGCTTCGGCAAGGTTCCATCAATAAATCCAAGTTTATTCTTAATGGAAAGTGCGATTATTATCGAGCGACTCCAAGAAACATAATTGTCGTCGGTGAGCAATTCCGTCACAAGAACTAAGTTGGAAGTATCACCGTGATGGAGATAATATAGATTCTAAGAAGAAGAATCAGATGCAGTTTGGAGTAAATCATCGGAAGAAGAATCGAATGGAATTGGTGGATCAGTCAGAAGGGAAGGATCTGGAACAGTCGCAATAACAGATGGCATGGTGAGAAGCGTACAACGCAAGAGAGAGAGAAAAAAATTACTACTCTGATACCATATTAAGGATAGAACAAACCACCACTCAACCCAAAAACTTAAGTTCATGGGTAAATTTAATTCATTTACATGGATTCAGAGAGATGGTAACCCCCTCCCTATGCTCGATTGTATTCAAAAAAGAAATTCACGCTGCAGAAAAGATAAAATCTAAAAATGGAAAAGAAAAGTAATCTTCAAAATCGGAATTACTTAAAAAAAAAGTCCGATCATCAGAAATAGATTCCATTGCGGCGGCCGGAAGAAAATCTGCCTGATAACTGGCAGGCCGTCGGCGGCGGCGGCGGCACGGTTCCCGATGATTCTGCGTCACCCTCTGATTTCTCATAGGACCACCAAAGGATCCGACCCCATCAAAATTTCCTCGAAGAAATCATGTTCCTCTCCTCCCTGGCCGGACCCCGCCGCCGCCGAGTACAAAAATTCGCCGGAGCTGCCGTCGGTCCACGGAGTTTCCGGTACGAGATTTGTTTGGTAGTCGAAAAACAGAGGCGATTCGAAAAGGATTGATTTAAATATGTCGTCGGAGCAGGGGAAGTCGACCACCGGAGATTCGGCCACGACGCCGAAAGTTGCGGTGGTCCGACACGGTGGCGGCTCTGGTTTTGATTCGGTGAAGTGGGTTCCGTAATGGAGGACCGACGTCGGAGACGAAGATGAATCCTCGCCGGGAAATGGCGGCGGCGGCGGAGGAGTGGGGAAGTTCGTTAACACGGCCGGCCCTCGGAACTTCATTGCGGCGTTTTTGTCCTCCGCCGTGTCGTAAGTCCCAAACCACAGCCGTATGCGGCAGCCGGAGTCCCACTTTCCCCACGGCCGCCGCCGCACGCCGAGAAATTTCCCCACATTACCCGGCGACTTCTTCTTCATCCTCCTCCGCCGGCGAACAAGTCCATTCGCCGTACGCTTCCGGCGACCACCGCCGGTCTCCGCCGTCTCGATGGTGACCTCATCGACGTAGCACTTCAAACGGCGGCGCGTGAGAAGCATCGCCGGTTCGTCGTCACTGGACGAATCCGTGGCGTCCGGGTCGGTGATGGAAATCCGAACAATTCTTGAGCCGGCGGAGTTCTCCGGCGGCTTCGTGGTGGGTTTTCTGCGAAGGTTGGTCGGAACATCCATGAAAGCTGAGGTTTAATGGTGGAATCTTTCTAGAGAGAGAGAGATGGAATAAGAAGAAAAGAAGAGAACTCGAAGGGGAAAATTAAGAGCGGCTGAAAAGGAAGTGTATCAGAGTGGAAAGAAAAAGCCTGGCATGGAACAAAATTTACAGTAGAGAGAGAGAGCCGCCATGGAAGCAAAAAGATTTGATCTTGAGAGATGGGATTTTGTTCATGGAAATTGCAGACCCCAAAATTCAGGAAATTTTTCTCTTTGCCGTTTGGAATAATGGAAAATTTAAGAGAGAGAGAAGGGGTATGATGAGTAATTGTTTATATAAATGTAGTGTTCATGTCCGAACATCCTCATTTGGTAATCTTAGACAGAAAACAAAATTAGATTTCTTTTTCTTTCCTCTAAATCTTGTTTGGATTTTTTAAAAAAACATTCAAAAGACACGCTAGAAAATTAAAAAAAAACAAATGGCTAAATCAATAAAGCAAAACATAGCTAATGAATATGTTTGTCATGTTGCAAGTTCGCGACTGGTCAAGTCCAGTGGAAGCAATTCACGTATCTATTTTTCTTTTTTCAATTATATAATTTGTTTATCATTTAAAACATACCATTTGAAAACTTTTTTTTTCTGAGTACACAATGAGAGTAGGGTTCAAATATAAACTTTTTGATCCGACAAGTGAGCTAGGCTTAGGTTAGTAGTACCCGAAATTAAAAAAATTTTAAGTTTAAATATTATTTTGGTCTGTATACTTTCAAAACATCAATTTTTGTCTATATATTTTTAAATTTTGTTCGTTTTAGTTCATATACTTTTCGAACGTCAATTTTGGTGACTATACTTTCAACTTTTGTTCATTTTAGTCACTTATTTTGGTCATTGTACTTTAATTTTTAAAAGTTACCATTTGTGTACCTATTTGTGAAATTTTAACATAATTAAAACTCTTTAATACAAATTTATGGCTACATTTCAAGAAATTTAGTAAATGAAATGTTAGGTTAAAATTATGATCCAAATAAATGATAAAATTGAAAATGAAAGATGACAATAATTACTTTTTATAAGTACAAAGACTAAAAAAAAAAACATTTTGAAAGTACATGTAATAAAATGAATAAACATTAAAAGTATAGAGACAAAATATGCATTTTACAAATCAAAATAAACCAAACTGAAATTTACAAAATAATATTTAAACCAAAACTTTATTAATGAAAACCAACTTTGCAACATGAGCTACATATAAAGTATCTTTTAAAAACATAAAAACATTAAAAGTATATTTGGGATGATTTTAAAAAAAAAACAAAATAAACTACTTTTCCTACACATATTTTTCTTGAATTCGAATTTTTTAGGCAGCATAAACATTTAACTTCATCAATTCATATCTTCCCATTCAACTCAATTTTTTTTTCAAAGGAAATTCAACTCATATTGCTATTAATTAAGAGTGCAATCCAAATCCTAAAATATTCATGGTACGAATAAATCCAAACTACTATCTACAAGAATAATATCTAGAATTTACCTAATTCTGAACGATATTGTTTTGATCATTCTAAATCGCCTAACAAGTTACGCAAGTTAACTATTGTTTATGCAAAAAATGTGACGGGGTATGACCTGGTCAAGGTCGGCCACAGGGAAGAGCTCGACCTACTCCAAGTATGACCGTCGGGAGAGC